TGTGGGGCCAACTCGCCAACATCAGGTGCTGGTAGTTTTGGTAATACAGGGTTGGCTGCCTGGGCTGGGTGGGGCTGGGGCGGTTACTGAAATTGCCAAAATGTGGCATCTCATGTAGGTGGGAGCCAGAATCAAGAATGCATTTTTTTGGTATGCCGGTAATTGGCGGTTTTTTTTTGGGGGGGCGTGGTAACATGCCGGTATCCCAGAAAAAATTTTTGTGGGGCGGGGCGGTGCCGGTAGCAGCCATTGGAAAACTTGCAACTCTAATTCGAACCCAAGACTCCGCCCACTAGATGCTTCTCTCCCTTTCTGAGCTCCGAAGCACTGGACACCCTCCGGCGCCCCCTGCTCTCCCCCGCACCCTGCGGTGACGCCTGGTGACACGCACCAATATTGGCGGCACCAATCCATCACTGGTGACAATGGCCGACCAGTCACTGATCGCCAAAGGAGGAGTCGTATCAGACGAGCGGGACGCGCTTCCCGGGGACGTCTACCGCCGTCCCGACACCGCCTCTTCGAGAGAGGGGTGCAAGGAGCCGCACGGACTCTCCGCATCCGGTCCGGGCTAACACTGAGGGTGGTTTGCTATTTCAGTGTGAATGCGGTGAAGAGACGTCTTGGTAGCAAAGCTACGCATTGGAAAGGAATATATCTTTTCACACGATGTTGCAGATTTAACTTACGAGTAGGTAACATGCCGCCAACTCCAGGACGAAAATACGTCCGGTAGGTTGCACTTGCAGAGAAAGCTTTGCAAGATTCAGTTACGTTAACTTCATGAATGTTGCATAACACTTCACAAAGTATGTCGGACATAACTTACTAAATGAGTTCATTAATTAACTTGCATGTCTCATAGTGTTTGATCTAAGTAGCTACATTCACAGGAAAACCATCTTCCCTGTCGCTTACTACCACGTCATGTTCCTGGAAGACCACAACGCAACCGGTCATGCTTCTGCTGCAAACCAAAGCAGTTCCGGAATAAATGTGAAGCTCGCCAATCAGCAGCGCTGGATTTAAAGTTTGACGGCCCAGTTACACACCCGCAACAAAGCCGGGCTACATCGTTTTATGTCAGCTCAAACAAATCGGACCCGTCAGCCGACCGCGGTCGGCAGCAATCCTATTCTGGAAACTTCTCGTTCTGAGAATGGTTTCCCAAACGGGCTGCGGCCAGCCGGACACATGACATATATGTCTGTCAGTTCCGCAGCCACTTAGGCAAAACCAGAGTCCAGATCCGACCAGCTTCCGACAATTATGGAGTGTCTTCTCGTCTAGACAGGACACAGACTGAGTAAGGCCCCAGAAAAGAACAGCTCTGGCTTTGAGTGACACCAGCTTAGCGACCTCATGTAGTGAGCTGTGGGTAACCTAAGTAGGCTAAAAATCGCATCATGGCTCAGGATCACTCCACTGACCTCACGATGTCCTAGCGTTAAGTAGAGGTAGGTAGAAATCACGAACAGAAACATATGATCCAGTACCCGACGACATTCCAAACACAACAAAAAATCAGCATCACCATTCACCACCCATGAAACATCAAACCCTCGGTGCCTGGTCAAACAACACCAATGACATGCCTCAGAGAATGTTACGAGCCATATTGCCGCAACGACTCACACCAGCGCAACAATGGCGTCAGTACCCAGCACCGTCGGCGTCCGTACCGCCCCCTCGCACGGCAGTGGTTGCTGGGCGGGTGCACCCCACCCCAGCTCCGGTTCAGGCGTCCGACCTCTCGCTCAGCCCGCTATACAGGGCCTCCAGCGAGGTTATCAACGAAGCCAGAATGTTAACCGGCGCGGTGATGGCACATATAGTGTAATCAACGCTCATAACCGGCGAGCATTGCGGCCAAAAGCGGCGGATTTTTTACAGTCAACAGCGCATGGAGCCGCGCCCCGAGGGCAGATTGCGTGCAGCGAGTGATGGGCTCAGAGCACCGGCCTGCATAGACTGCAGAACGGTTTGGCAACGTTCTGGGCGGGAGTGGCGGCAAAATTAAACAATCGAATATGGTAATGAAGCGGTAGGCTTGCTACACTCGTGAGTGCTAGTAGCCCTTGCAGAATACGAAACCTCACATAAATAACTTCGGATGTGCGAGAACCGCAGAATACGAAACCGAACCGTACATAAGAAACTTCAGAAGCGCGAGACCCTCAAAACTCCTACCTGGCCTATGTCATTTCCTTCAGATTGCTTTTTCATCTGAACCGGAAATAATCACGTGAGAAAACTGCATAACCCACTAACTAGACATAGTTCCACAACTAAAAGTCCAGAGCGGAACATGTCAGGAACCGGGGTACTTACTGTAGACGAGCAGGTTGAACTTGTTGGTGATCTCCTGGTTTCCGTAGCGCGCCCTGCACGTGTACTCGCCCGAATCGTGTTCGGTGACGTTCGTCACGTACAAATCGAGCTCCTTGCTCGGGTCCTTGGACGACGAGTACACCCTGAGGTACAGGTCAGGTCAGGTCAGGTCAGGTCGAGCCAGGTCAGGTCGGGCAAGCATGGGAATTGAATTGCTTAGCGCTTCAATTGGGAAGGAGGGGTCTGAATTCTGATGATGTTCCACGTTTGACTAGATGGATACGGTTAAAGACGAGTAGGTTAAACAGTGATGCGTACCGCGATCTACATACCATTATCTTTCCGACCACAAAGAAGCATGCTAAAACATGGCCGCGCCAGGCACTAAAACAATCATCCCCAGCCACACTTCCGCGCCAAATCTTCACCCGCAGATAGTGTAAGAACTAAGACTGCATTATGCATCATGCCTGCATTCATATTCCGCCGGGTGGTTGCGAACAACCGTCCTCTGCATATCAAACAAACCGTCCGCCCGGAATACTGATCTTATTTGCCGGCGCGCCGCTTTGTAAAGCGCCACTGTTCGTCGGCCACAGGGTGTATTGATATAGCATTAGCGGCGGGCGGTAACACCGTCCAAATGAGCGCCGGCTAAGGTCGGGGTCACACCGTGATCGGCCAACGATCGACGGTGACGGATGACCTGCGCGAGCCGCTGGCGGCACCGGTTAATGGTGGCAGTAACAAAGGCAGGTGACCCCACACCTCGCTACCGATACTTAGAGTGAAAGGTGCGTTTGGATCATTTTTTCTTCTTACAGGGATTAGGTCGACTAAACGGTAAACAAGTAATTTAATGCTCGGCACGTTTCCTCATCTAGAAAAATTCGAACTGGGCGAGACAGCTTTGATCAAAACTGATAAAAATAAATTTATATCGAATGCGTCGAGGAATACCTACTCCAAATCCTTGATTAATACATATTCCACTCCGTAGAATGACAATTTTTATAGCTTTCTTCCGCACAACAGCTAGAACACTGTAACTGAAAGAGCCCATTGCGTTCGTGACAATGTGACACTCATTACCAATATGGTGCACGTGCGAACGTGACGCCATTCGACCGGCAGTCTCTGATGCCATAGCACATGGCGCCAGCACGTGGTGTCACGTGCACGCCAGACCACGAGGGGCCACGCGGAGCCAGGGGACCACCGGATTGTAAATCGCTCCCCGATTACACGTGGCACGGGCACGGTAATAGCTGTCAGGGGTGGCCGTCTCGACATTTACCACGGCACGGCCAGCCGACTTTTCAGGCAGTCCCAATAACACTGCATCCCTTCGGAATGGGAGCGTTTTGGAATTTTGTAGGCTGAACATTTTAAGAAATAAAGAGCCGAAAGGTGAGAAGCGACTCGCGAGACTCTAACCTTGGACTGAGCGTTCGCTAATCGTCACAATGACACATATTCTTACTCATTCACACTCAAGTAATTGACATCACATTGATATCATTATGAACATTGAACAATTATTGATAACAGTAACATGCAATTAAAATTGCGGCTGACAAGGTTTATAATTTACTGAGAAACACAACACGTATGGGAATGATAAAATAAGGACACGTACGTACACATCTAGAGGAACAATTCGACACCAATCACTACAATTAAGCTACCACTAAACAATTACCCTGTAATATTTATCAACCCGACCAGCCACCCGACTGTAATATTTATCAACCCGACCAGCCACCAATGCAAAAACATGGTTATTTTCATCCTATATTGCCATGACACCCAATAATTTGGCTTGCAGGCATTGACTGGGGGAGGGGGGGGGGCAAGCTGAAAATGTGTGAACACTCGAGACGAAAGGACACCGTGCCAAACAGCCAAGACCCAGACAAAAACGGGACATGGATCACAAATGCGTCATTCACCTTAGTGAGCTTTATTTGATCTGTTTTCAAACGAGGAACGTGACATTCGGATCAGGCGGCATGCAATGCAAGACAAACATTCAAGATCATACGCATTAAAACACTGAGTAATGCAACAGCTAGTGAAGGTTTTACGGTCGGGGCTTACACAGCTAAGGCAATAAAAAACAACCCTTGACCTTAGTCGGGTTCAGCTCAACCTTGACGACACCTTTATATCACCGCTCGCTTTCTACTATTTAACTGGCAACATTCCGTGAAAGATGGGCCGTTAAGTCCGGTAACGCCCTTGACAACGAGGTGGCAATGACCTTGAACTTTAAACTAAGAGTTAGCTCGGAGCTGCAACTATTTAGAGTGCCATTGACGTAACAGAGCAAACAAGCATTTTACTCGCTAACTACACAAGTGAGTATCTCGTGTGGAAACGAAACGATGATTTCAGTTCAGAGAACTTGTGGGGCTCATTTACCATTTCTACAACTGAGTAAGTAGTGCAGAAGCGAGCTTGAACTGTAAGACCTTTCCCAACTTTGGATAGGTACATTTTTACGGCTCATTTTCTACCGAAGCAACTGCAAGATACCTTAACCCTCGCCCGTATTGGTGTTTTTCCAGCCGCGAACGTATAAGGGGGGGGGGCCGTTGGACCCCCCCCTTGGCGTTTCGCCCCTGATCGAGCTAGAGCTTCGCGGAAAAAAACGAGCGTGTTGCCCGTGACGAGAGGAAGCCGATGATACCCAATTTTAAGGTCCTAGGTCATTGGTTGACCTTGCAGGTCAGGTCAATGACCTGAAAGTCGGGAAAATCGGGACCTGTTAGAACGTCGTAAAGTGTGGCTGCTATGAGGTTTTTCGGGGTGCTGATCACGAATATCATGTTAGTTTTGATCACAGATGATGTCTTCATGCATCTAGTCCAGGTCGGGTCAGGTCAGGTCAGGTCAACCAGTAGGGGTCCTGCCGGGTATTCCTAGTAGGTGTCAACCGCCTCTGACAGCTTCGTAACATGTTACGAAGGCACCAAAACTACTTCGTAAATGTTGATATGGTTGCTAAATTCGAATTCAGCTCCAAAAACTGGCCTAAAAACATGTAAAACTCGAAAAAGTGAACCGAGGTCATCAAAGGTCAATGACCTGACCTGACCTTCAGGTGACCTTGACACCCACCCTTATGCATGGGGGCAACATCATATCACATGTTTGAACGCTTGAAACCACGAAAAGACTGCAAACGCGCTGCTAATGCGAGCCGACATACGCCGAATCGCGATTCCGGCCAAACATGGTCTCGAAAAGTAGGTCACAAGTCAAAGGTCATTTGGGTCAGGGTCATGAAATTTTCAGGGGAGGTGTAAAATTGATTAACGCGAGGGTACTGAAAGTTTCGTAGCGATCGGCCGCTTTTTACGTGAGTTATTCGCGAAAAACCATGGGGGGTCCGTTCGACCCCCCCCCTATACGGGCGAGGGTTAACATTTGGAAGTAAATGGTCCCTAACCTGCTATCGCTGTATTTATTTTCTGAAGAACTTATTTTTGGGTGATTTTTCATATTTTTTATTTCAGTATTTTTGGGTAGTATTTTTGGTTTCGATGAGCCCAAAAATAGCCTGTCATCCATCAGTAGGTACTGAGTTACAGCTCACCTCCTGAATTGCAGCTATCGACCCAACCCACACTACCACGGTCCTAAGGAACCACTACACCCGCCGGGTATGGGGGGGGGGGGAAGCGTGCAAACAGGCAGCATACCTGGGAGACCGTAGGCTGGAAGAGGGGGAGATCGGTGTTAGAGACGTGTGACGTCACAAACACAGCGTGACGTCACACACAGAGACGGAAAGTGCGACCGAATGACGCATAGCGAGACGACTGACGGAGTCTGAGCACCAGATGTTCGATAGATAGAATTATTAGATAGATAGAAGTCAGAAGTGGCATGAAAGAACTGACTGACAGAGCGAGAAGAATCGAACGCGTTCGGATTGACGGAAATGTGGTGTGCGACTCGATTTACAACCGCTATACCGCTAACCGGTGGCAGCTGGAGCTGGTGGTAATGGTAAAATGAAAAAACAGGTTTGTTAGCTAATAATACTTTGATCATGTAAATATTGAAAATAGGCACTAAGAAATCATTTCAGAGTAATTCATTGAATGTTATATAAAGATACAGAGCAAATATGCCGATCATTTTCATCCGTCAACTACTGTTCATTCGAAAAAGATTCAGACCAAAAGGTGTCATCAATTTTGAAAGACACTTCGTCAAGCCGAACGCATCCATCCAAAATTCACCCTCACGCCCCGTGGCAGCGGACCTTCACCCATCTTTGCCCCCTTCCGCGGTGTTCACACGTCTGACAGCGTCCACCTACCGACTGCTCCTCTCGTCCGGCACCTCGTTTCCGCTGGGGTCGGTCCACACGAGGTCGCTGATGAGCCCCTCCTGCTGACCGATCACCTTGCACTGGAAGTAGCCCGAGGCGCCAATGTCTCGGCGGTTCTCCGGTGCAGACGGCAGAAGCTCCAGTCGGGGGCTGTCCTGCGCCAGTGACACTGCAAACGGAGGAGACACGGGTCAGATGAGGTCGCATGGGTCATATTGGGTCACATAGGACCACATGGGTCATATAGGACCAGTCCAGCCGGGGGCTGTCCGGCGCCAGTGACACTGTAACTACGGGTCACATGGGGTCACTCTGGGTCACGTAAGGTCATATGAGGTTACATAGGGTCATATTAGGCCACATAGGGTCAGACAGGCTTCATAGTGCAAACGGTAGTCAACAAGGATTCACAAAAAGCTACAAGGGTCAATCAAGGTCAAGACGAGGACGTGAGAGGTCACGCAGCATGACCCCAATCAATCTGTATTTAATGCTCGCTGGCGAGTCATGCGTTGGATATTTAAAAGCTCGGCCACCTTTAGGTTGCAGCCCAAAGGTCAGAGCCATCATTTATAGTCAGGAGCAACGATTGGGTTCAAATCTGGGAATGTCGGGCACGGAGGTCCGAAATGTCCGAAACACCCCACATTATCGTCGTTAAATCGGACTGCCCGGCCAGAACAACAATTTGTAAGTTATCACAACTTCCCGCAGAGTTATGCGCATATTTTGCCCCGCGCTGAAACGTCGGTGGCGTGGGATATGAAATTAAATCAGACGACAACACAAAGGGCATTTATAACGATCAGCACCATACAAATCAGGGCTAATAAAAATGGATAAAAGCTGAGAAGCGATCGGTGAGCACATTGATTGCTGCGAAGAGAACGGATATAATGCGGCAAGCAAGTTTGAGGCAGAAGGTCATGTTTACATAATAATGTACACCACGCATTGTCATTTTTTGGTACAAAAAAGGTTCCCAGTCTATATCAATATCGCAAAACACGACATCGCGACGGTTGAAAACGTCGAACGTAGATATTGCGTGACATATTTGGCACGCCAAGGCCTTAATTATGTTTTCCAATTAAAGGAAATAGTTCACTTTCACGAAATTATTTTTTTTGCAATGGATTTGTGATTTTTTATGTTCAAAATGATCAGCAAAGAAAATAAAACCTTTTTACAGCAAAAGATTATTTTCTATATTTTTGATATAGGAAGAACTTTTCAGTTTCTGTAAGGCACCACGATCCAGTATGAAAAGAGCATGGGTCCCGAAAATTCTTCAGAACTAGAGAAATTATCGCGGCCACCGGCATTTGGGCGATCTGCTCGTGCTTTTGTTACTGGAGCGCCTCACTGGAGCGAATTTCTCTAGAGTTCTCGTAGATAATTTCTCTAGTTTCTGAAGAATTTTCGGGACCCATGCTCGTTTCATACTGGATGCGAATATATGCAAGGCACACATCCTCAACACAAGACACATTTTTCGGGACGAGAAATAGAATATCTTTGCCTAGGGTGATCGTTGGGCTGTAAAAGCTCCTGATTTATGCTCGTCTCAGCCCAAGCTACGGAACTGCTATTCCAGTTCAAAACCCATGTTAAAATGTGAACTATTTCCTTTAACAGAGACGAATTAAACATTTATCTACAGACCTCGTACGGAAGTTCACCGATATATCAGCGTAGTTATTCAGACAGGCTACATCTTTCACAAATATTCATACTTTTTCTGTAGGTAAGCGGTCTGCTAAGGCAAGATGTTGCATTGAAACCGACGAGTAAACCGCTTTCCGCAAACCTTCAGTCGCATGCCGAATGCTACCTTGGCCCGGCAATTTACCCGCACGTTTACCAAGAATCCCTAAGCCCTCGCAGCGTCCCTCTGATTAAAAGAACCATAGCTTGGCACCACCGCCCAACGAGCCAGATCGATGCAAATTACAAATCGATTGACTCATTGGACCACACGGATGGAGGTCATAGCCCGTGCTTGATTTAGATTGTCAATAGCTGGGCCGGTCTAAATCAACGACCCACCCTGTGACCTGCTCACTGAAGGCGCACTCAACGGCGGACATAGGTGTCATAATTCATCTCCATTTCTGACCCATTACTGCGACCAAAGTACCCCCAATTGACTCAACACCGACACGACCAAGACGGTGTCGGCAGTAGCTAAGTGTATGGAACACTGGAAATTAAAATGGAAATTTAAATATGGACCAATGACTGCAAGGCGTTGGCGACGATTGCCAGCCTACCTAGTTGGAAAGCCAGCAGCAGGAGCGGGTTCATGAGCGTGCCTGGCAGTGACGGGCGCAGAGCCGTCGGTCAGGTCTGGTCACGCACAGAGTCGGACAGTCATCACTGGTGCTGCGCCGCACCAATCACCACTGGTGCCGGTCATAGTCTCGGCACCAGTGCGAGAGCGATCACCATCGGCGTCAGCTTATTACCGATACTAACGTTAGAGCACCATTAGCGCAGTCACCACTAGTGTGCACCAGCACTACCGCAGTACCACCACCACTTTTGCACCCACGTCACAGCACCACTGCAGCACCAGCTCCCACAGAGCACCAGCGCCTGGCACCGCCCAGCGCAGCGGCCTCTCTGACCGACCTGGCGGTGGCCGCTGTTCTACGGCTTCACCTCAGACTGTCACAGAGTTCCACTGAGTCCACTCCAGCCAATGAACCGCGCCTCAGGGTCGGTTCTGACATCCTGGAAGACCCCTCCGCCAAGACAGAAGTCAGGGTGATTAGCTTCTTTTTTGGCACAGTGGACAGTAGCAGAGCCTGAGGTTAGCTCGGTGTTGAACTCGATCGCCCGGGGCGTTTGACCTGCAGTGAGGAGGTTGAGGTTCGTGACCTCCGCCCAAGGCTTCACTTCATTTGGCTTCTTTAGCTCCGCAGTAGGTCAGACGGGCTCAGTTGTGAGTGCAGGGTGGAGACACCCGTCCCGCCTCGACTCGACGGCTCCGTTCAATACGGCGGAGCCGTCCACTGCATTGATTCGCCGCACTTCTGGGTACTCGGGTAGGGATGATTTGTCCCCAACTTGGGCGAAACGGCGACAGTTTGCTCTCCAATTGAAAGGTCAACCTTCAGCGGAGAGAAGTCGGATGCTTTCATATTCCTGATATCATGCAAACAAATAATTCGTGGAACAGGATTAGATCGAAAATCCTACATCAACCACTATAGATCCACTTTTCACGAGTGGCTCTCTCACAAACACTGATATTTTTCGCTGCCCCACCACCAAGCTCCTGTCACACCGCCCGTCACACTGCAACTGATAGGCTCCTCCAGCGCTGACCGCGGACCGCCCCAGGCTATTACACCAGGTCATCAGCATCGCATACGCTCCGGCGCCGCTGTGTCGTCCGGCGCGTCAGAGGCGGATCCAGCTCAGAGTTTGGGGGGGGGGGCAAACCATAAAATTTATCGATTCTTTCCATGCATCGTCCATAGGCGTAATGTTAAAATTATGCCGTTTGGGGGGGGGGGCAAATGCCCATTTTGCCCCCCCCCCCCTGGATCCGCCACTGCGGCGCGTTATCTCATCTCTGACCACCATCCCCTCAGCCACCTCTGATCTTGTGACGCCAATGATTGGCGCCCTCGCTTCTATGAAGATCCAATCACGGAGAGATGAGGGAGGGGAGAATCCCACTCTATTCCAGCAAGGCGTCATTCCATGTATAGAAAGAGCCGTATCGACTACCGCCCCCAGCTCCCCATCCCAAGTCAGATCTTCCAGGTAATTTGTGTGTGTGTTTTTTTTTGCAAATGAAGCTAAAATTAATGCTGTCATCAACAGCCGTTGTATCTTATCAAAACGCATCTCTATTACACTGTATTTCGCGCTCCATTGCTGCATAATTTGCAAACCAATATCCTATTATTTGAAGCAACTCATTACAAACTCTCCCGGCAGTCTAAAGTCAACGCAAAGCCACTCAACGCAATTCTGCTCCCCCAGCCCATACCACGCAGGTCTCACACTTCAGCTACACCCCAGCACCCTGGGCGGACAGTTTTGCAACATCGCCCACTCAGATGCTGACCTTTCCCAATGTGACGATGCACTGCGGCGCAACCGAAACCCTCCCCCTCTCCCTGGCGTTCTCACTCTCCTCTCTCCACAACATCTGCAGGTAATCTTTCCTCACTGTCAATCAGCTGGCTCTAGTCGGTGTGTCTGTTCTTTTGGAAGAAGCTCGTTGCAGAAGGATTAAAACAAAATGCAATACTACATTCCGTGCAGGCGTCAGAGTAGATAAACAATTATAAAACGAATGTTTATGCTTGTCTGGGTGTTGGCGACGAAAAGCTTGTGCAGGTATGCAAAAATCGTAAAAAAGCAAAAATGCCCAACGTTTGAAGGAAATATCCAGATCGTGGTTATGATGCACGCCTTTCAATAGGGCCAATTATAATCTAATTCCGCACGCATTCATTGTCACATTTATCCAAATCACGCCCCAAACAGTTCCCCTTTCGTGATTATGCCACAATGCATTTATACCCCGTTTCATCATCGTACAATACCGGGGCGAAAACAGCACCGGGGTCCGCTCAGCAGTGCCGGCTGGGCTGCTGGGTGGGAAAATCAGCTTACACCGGGACCGGCAGCTGAGCCGCCGCGGGGGGCGTCAGACACGCTGATGGGGGTGTGTTTTGTACAACATATGACGTCACAGGGGGAGGGGGATGGGGCGGGGAGGGAGTCGGTGTGCCGCAAAGGTGTGTTGCACCGGGCGGAGCGGCGGACGGCAGGTAGGGAGAGAGAGAGAGAGAGAGAGAGAGAGAGAGAGAGAGAGAGAGAGAGAGAGAGAGAGAGAGAGAGAGAGAGAGAGAGAGAGAGAGAGAGAGAGAGAGAGAGAGAGAGAGATCCGCCACCCACGGCGCGCTGGAAGAGCCGCCGGAGACTACAGCCGACAAAAACACTCCGGCCGAGCTCATATCGACTCCCGGCCCGGATAAACCCGATGGCCCCTTGAGATAAGCCGACGGACGGCGGCCGATCAGAGGGAGGAGGCGGGCCGATCGCCCGTGCGTACGACCCACCCGGCGCTCCCAGAGCTAATGGGTGCACACGCGGATCGGCGCGGAAGCCGGCGGACAATCATGTTGCGTTACACACCAGCGC